ATTAGTATAAATTATTTTATTTTACTTATCATATGTTACTTAGTATTAATTCAAATGTCATATATCTCTATATATCGTATATCTTTCATATATCATATAAAGTGTTGTTGTTCTAATCTCTATCATATCATTATAATTTCTCATATTATTTTTCATATTGTTCTTTTTCTTTTAATTCATTAAAATAATTATTTTTCGGCGTTATTTTTTAATTCTTCATCAAGATTTTAATACATATCTTCTCTCATCAAATCATCATTGTTTTCAATATTATCAAAATAAATAATATTTAAAGTCCATTCTATTGTTTATTAAGTTCTTTTTCATCATCTAAATCTTTAATTAATATTGCTTTTTTATTAATTAAACCAGTGCCACCAAAAAATTTTTTATTGGAAGTGAATTTTGAAAATTTTGTTCCAACCCATCAAAATTTTAAATGTGGTGGCGGAAAAAAAATAATTCCAATAAACAAATAACATTTTAAGGTTTATAAAAATGTTATTCAATAAACCTTCAACGATAAATATATAACGTCAGTTACAAAAATAAAGAAGGCAAAAATAGCAACATAAAAATGACCAATAAAAAATGTAAAAAAAAGTTCAAAAACATTAAAGATTACTTTTTTCATATTCTTTTATTCTTTTAGACTTCTTTGCAATGTTTAGCAAACATAAATTATTATAACGAGTCAATTAATTATGCACAACTTCTTGTTCTTATCACATTTGTATTTTTTGGTTCATTTCATAAAGTTTTGAAATAGTTGTTTAGAAGAATGTGAAACCGCTCCGTTTCTTTCATGGGTATAACAGTCATATTTTTGATTGACTCTATTCTAATACCCGTTTTTCCGTGTTAACAAGAAAAGAGATCTCTTGTCGCTACCGTCATACCCCATACCAAAGTTCATCCCCTGTTACCACTTTCTCAGTCCTTTTTTGACTTTTTGACTATTGATAAAGAACTTGTTTCCCTTTCATACGTAAACACTTTTTAAGCTTAGTTTCTTCTACCAAATCTACATTTGTTGTTTAGGATCGATTCACCCCAATCCAATTAAGGTTATCTAGGAACCTTTCTCCTCTTCAGTCCTTAGATATTTTTTTTCCTCTTCTAAGTAATTGCTACTTCCACCAAGATCTGTACTCAAGTCTGTTTTAATAGAAATTACTTTTCTACCTTCATCGCTCACTTATTCTTGACATTATGCATTTCCTTACTCCTCGTGTGATCTATGTTGTAAATATTTTGTAGATGGAGTTTTCAAAATGTGTAAACTTTTGAGAGAAATTCATTTTTGTTTACTTTTTTATTATTTCGAATTTGTTTGACGGTGATTTGTTTATTTTTAATTTTATAAAACTGTGTCTTATGTATATTATTACAAATAATTTAAAATGAATTATAATCTTTATAAAGTTTAATAATTTAAAAAAAACAAAAAGCTTTTTATTTTCAAATTATACAACTAGTTTATATTAATTATAATTATCTATGAAAAATCGGCA